TGGCAATGCCTGAAACAACCATCGGATTCTTCCCCGATGTGGGGGCGAGCCACTTTCTTAATCAGTGTCCTAAACCAGTCGGTCTCTACCTTGCTTTAACAGGTATGCATATTAATGCCTCAGATGCTTTGTGGAGCAGTCTTGCAACACACTATATTCCTGAAAAACATTGGGAAGAGTTGCAAAGCAGACTGAAACAAGGAGAAGATTTAGAACAAGTCCTCAAAGACCTTTCATCCACATCAAAAACGATTGGTCCTGTGGAAGAAAATTTTGAAAAGATCCGATCCCTTTTCTCAGCTCCTTCGCTCAGCGCCTTAATGACGCGCTTAGAGCAAGATTCTTCGGATTTTGCAAAGGAAACTTTAAAACTGAAGCGCGCACAAAACATTTCTTCTTTTAAAGAAATCATGGCGTTAGAGTTTCGTCTTTGCCAACGCTTCGCAGCAGACTATGACTTCGCCGAAGGCGTTCGGGCTTTGCTCGTGGATAAAGATAAAAATCCACAATGGTCTCCAGCCTCTCTAAAGGATTTATCTGAAGAAGTCGTGGAGAGCTACTTCGCGCCGTTGAATAGTCAAGCAGAGCTATGGGATCGATAGAAATAGCCTTTAATAAATAAGAGTTTCACCTTGGGATAACGTGCTCATTTTTGGGCATATTCTTATACTGTTAACCAAAAATTAACCCTAGCACTGATTAAGTCTCAAAAAAATATGGGAACGTTTATGGGGGATTAATCAAGAATGCGCCAATATCTGTGGATTTTATTTTTAATAATGGTTTGTTGCTCTGCAGTGGCGTCTATTTTTGAAAAAAAGTTTGAGCTCGACAGTTCCTCCTCACCAAAACAAACCTTTGATGCCACAGATATCCAGACGATCAACTTGTCTTCTGTAAAAGATCGATATGCCTATTGGCAGAACAAGTTGTCGGGTCTTTCTGAGGATTTAGAGCAGAAAAAATCGGTTAAAATGACGCAGTTTTTAACGCTTCTTTCTTTCCAAACAGAAGGGCTCTCCAGTACAGCCTACGTTCCTTCACCAAAAATGTTAGTTGCCTTCGACCCTGATCGCTATTCTTGGTGGACGACACAAAAAACAGATCACCCCCAAAAAGGGTCTGTCTTAGACCAAATTCGCAGCGCATGCGTTATCCTTGGGAACAAAATTTATATAAACAGGCTGGATTGTGCAGAAAAATTATATGGCGCTCATCAATTTTATACACAGTATTGGCGACGATTAAAAATGATTCGTGACAGGCATGCTTTCCTTCTAGAGTCGCCTGGCGGATCTCCCTTCTTAAAACCCTTAGAAGCTGTTTTTGAGGAAGTTCTTTTTGAAGAACTCAAGACACTACAGAGAGAATATTTTACTATTGATACCGCTTTCCCCATTTTGATGTGGCGATCCATTGTTAACAATCAAGGAGGGCAAGGCTCTTCACCTCTTGTGTATGAAAACCTATGGGACGAATGGGGAAATACAGAAAATGATTCTGGTATTTTTAGAGAAGGAGTCGCCCAAAAATGGCGTAAACTTTACATTAATGTCATGCGCAACATGCTATGGCCTGTTTGTGAAGAACTTATGAATCAAGGATGGCATAATGAAGATGTTGCCTGGACGATCTCTAAAGGACTTTATGTCCCTCAGCTTCCTTCTTCTTTAATGCTCGGAGGGTTGATTGATCAGTATATCGCCCCCTATGCAGAATCGGCCTTTAATGATCAAAAACAACGGTGGGGACTTTTTGAGTATTCAAATCCTGAAGGGATATTGTTTTCTATGGTTCCTGTTGCCCAAAAATTTGTTGGCGTTTTATTGCCTCACCTTTTCAGTCAAGTAGAAAACAAAGGTAATTTCGCGTCTTCTTTTTCAGAGATCGTTTTAGAGGAAGGGCAAAACATCAGCTTTAAGAATTCAGGAGAGCTATATAAATTCTACCAGCAAGATCGGAAAATCCTTGAAGGTGTTTTGGATCAATGGACCCTTTCGGCTAAAAATTGGTTGCCCTTCTTAAAGACAGAAAATGATGTTCACAAAATGGTTGCTCACCAACCTTTAACAACAATAAATGAAGTGCTCTATCAACTGATGCATTTATTTGATGTGGTTGGGGATACGCTTCTCCCTCTCGTTGGGTTAAGGGAAGTAGAGCTAACAGAACAAAGCTTTCAAGACGTTGAAAACAGCCCAATTGATGTTGAAGAATGGGCTTCAACGGAAAAATCAAAGATTGCAGACCATCTCGATCTTTCTCTTGAAGAATTAAACTCATTGGCAGGGAAAATGCGCAACACTGTTTTTGAATTGTACACATTGTTAAAAACAGGAATCCAATTGGGGCACAGCTTGATGATCTTTGAAGATGCCCAGTTGCGGTCACAATACCCGCAATCTCTCCCTTCTTTCATGTCCCCTTGGGTCGAAAGTGTTCCGCTCATCTTGAAAGGAGAGGAATAGTCAAAAATCTTCGCCCTGTGCATGCTCTTGCCGCGCAAAGCGGCGACATCTTTCTAAGCGAAAAAGGCAAAAAAGCCTTGCCCTTTAGAACTCAACATATACAAAGATTTGGGAAGCAATGTTTAGAGCTAATGCGCACGATAAAACCCCAAAAACACTTAGAGATTTATACACCTTGGTTTGATATACAAGACGAAACAGGTTTAGGATACCAATGAGTTCTTTTTTACCTTGATACATCTAGAGTGTTATTGAATGGTTTTATTTATGCTCTTATTGAAAGGGTTAAAGAGGAATAAATGAAAACCGCTCTCCCCCTTAAAAGGCAAAGTTAAGCTTGATTTTTAGGGTGTTTTTCCTTAAAATTGACATTGTAAGGAAATCTTTTCTGATTGTTTCCCTTACTTTTGTAAAAGAAGAGCTTTTGGTGCTCGTTGAGGCTAAAGGCTTTTGCTAGAAAAAGGAATGAAAAATCATGAGTAAAATCATAGGCATTGACCTAGGAACAACGAATTCTTGCGTCGCAGTTATGGACGGCAAGGAAGCTCGCGTTATTGAAAACGCAGAAGGTGTGAGGACAACCCCTTCT